AGTCTCTAAAATAACTAGTTACTAAGTCCCCCGACGCTCCAAGTACATTCTAGGGATTTGGGATTTGAGGTCAAGTCCCCCCAAAAACGCAAACGACTGTCAGAGTTTGTACTGTTGCACCGCCGGGCCCGGATTCTCACAAATTGTCAGGATGTCTGGCAGGGTTCGACAGTATAGTCTTGACCTTAACCCTGACCTTAACCCTAAATCCTTAACCCTAAATCCTAAACCCTAAACCCTGATCTCTAAATCCTTAACCCTAAACCCTGAATCCCAAACCCTAAAACCTTAGCCCTAAACCCTGAACCCCGAGCCCTTAACCCTCTACCCAAAGTCGACACCCTGGATGCACCGTTCGAGCTCGGATCCTACAGCTTAATTTAATATTAGGGCCCCCCAAAACGGTACAAAAAGATATCCCACGTACATCCCCTTCTAATGAAGCCCAATCAGTCAGGGATATACTTTAAACTGCTTACGTGTTATGTCCTGTTGGGGGCCCCTATCTAGGGGCCTGAATAGCTAGAATAGTGTTGCGAGCACAGTCAAAGGAGTCCGAGGGAATAGCAGTGCAGCAGTACGATAGCTGTAGGGTTTGGGGTTGTTAGTACATCTACCTACAGGCTCATACCCTACCCCTTTTTTAGGGCGCCTACTTTTTAAGATAACAGATCCTAACCATAAAACTAGGTATCCTAAAAACGGGGTAGGGTATAAGCCTCTAGGTAAGGTTTACAGCTCAGAGTTATAGATTTAGTTAGCTTTAGGGATCTAGTTTCCGGAGTCTCTTCGGTGGGATTTGAGCGGCTGGCCTCTCGCGATTGGAGGTTCAGTGTTTACCACATACCTGGCATTGGCAGCCAACTAAGCCTGTGCTTCGTGTGACTCCGGTGACATGGGGTAGTCCTCACATGGAATTGGTCCAGGGGCCGCGCAGCAGAGCTCGACGGGGTGCTGCCGCTTGCGAAAAGGCTGCGGTGTTTCAGAGCTTGGCGAAGCAGTTCCAGCACAGCTTTGTGCTGATTCTCTTCGCACGCCATCGGCATGGAGCCGATCCCGGTTCCTGGACACGGAGCTGTACTCTGCTTACTCCGCAGTTTCGTCGAGGGCTGTGCCAAGGCTGTATGTAGGGCATTGAAGATTGAGTTAGGTTATTTTGACACAAGACATACATGAACCCTAAAGGTTGCAGTACACCCGAAATTGAAACTTTGATTTCTTTCCCATGCACGGCGTCCCCTGTTAATTAAACGCTCCTCGGGCAGGACTTGGAGCACTCTTGGCGTTCGGTGCCGCATGTGGCCAGCAGTCATTTGCGCCCTAAACCCTAAAACCCTAAACCTCTGAACCCTAGAAGAACCTCAGACCAACAAGCTCCAAGCCTACGATGCAGCCACAAACCCGGACGCCAATAGCACCCCTCGATAAGTCAGTGTTGCAGGAAGCTTAAGTTCTGAAACCCAGAAACCTAGAAAATAACTTGGTTTTTGGACCCTGAAACCTTGATATTTGGGGTACCGCCTAAACCCTGAAGCCTAAACCCTAAACCCTGAACCCTAAACCCGAAACCCTAACCCTAAGCCTTAAAACCCTGAACACTAAACCCTAAACCCTACAAGCCCTAAACCCTAAACCGTCCCAAGGAGCGGGTGAGATGGGCTTCGACTGAAGCCTTGGGTCGCCTGGCAGTGCGGGGCGACAGGCACCCGTGCTATAAAGGGGCTGCGGCTACTATAGGGGCTTGAATCCTATACTACCTTTAAAGGGATCCTTCAGGGTTCCTTTAAAGAATCTATACGGGATCTAGAGGGTTCAGGGTTTAGGATGGGGGCCTGAATAATCTACACTATGTTGGGTGCTCCCCTTTATACATATAGTATAACGGGCTATACAGTAGGGGCCTGAATAAATACCTACACTTTGTGGGTTCCTTAGAATTAGAACTAGGGTATAATGGGCCGCAAAACCCTATTCCAATTACTTATTAAGACCCGTATAGTAACAGACGGGCTGCGGCTACCCGAAACCGAAGGAACCCTGAACCCTAAACCCGTAACTCGTAAACTAACTAGATGGGTTGAGATAAGGCCTTCTAAAGGGTATCGTTTTGAGATTGTTAGTGATGGGTGTTGGGGAATGGACTCTTGCAGGGCATGCATGGGATTCGAGACCCTTCATCCCATCGGACTGCATTTTATGAGTGAGGCTACCCGTAAGTAAACCCTCCACCCTACAAACCCTAAATCCTAAATCCGCACTCCGATATGCCGCGTCGAGACGAAACACTGCATCCTCAACAAATATGGCTGAAGCCCAAACCGTGTAAACCCTAGCAGTCAAGCAAGTATGGTAGATTCAAAAGATGAGGGACCCCAAGATAGACCTGAAATAGTACGGTTTATGATACAAATCCTGCATGACCCATTATAAGGAATATACCATAGATCCCATAGTTTAGAGTCCTTAAGGTAATGCAGGATTTATATCATCAACCGTAGTA